GAACCTGTTCCCAACAACTCAAACACGTTATCTACAAACCAACGCCTCAAACATCGCCGCGACAAAACAGCAGTTTGGGAGAACCCAAGCCCGAGAACTCGACAACCAAAATGTATCCTAACGATCGCGAATATATTATAATGTATGACGATAAACCATAACATATTATGATATACCACAGTGCTTTCCTTTTTCTTCTCCATCATTAGTAGATTCCATTTTCTCTTCCATTATTCACGGGTAAGAAGTAGAAGCTGCTGAATTACAAATATCAAGTCCCGAAAACCTGTGGCCTGGCAGAGGCCCTGCAACCCAGAACCTCTAAAAACCCCGGAATATGCCTTAATTTTTAGGGGTTTATGGTTTCAGGGAATCAAATTTTAAAATGCCATGGAGAATGAAATTGAAACTATGGTCTTTTATGGACGTAGTATACCTCTCAATTAAGGAATATTCTTTATATCATATGAACCATGGTCTAGACTCCCTGACGGGGGTAGTTTAGGTATAATTGAAGGCACATTCATTTGGGGTGGCCTTGGAAGTTCTGGGAAGCTCAGGATGGACTCACCCGATGGCTCCACGGTGGATCCTGCAGTGAAGCTTGCCTCAAGCTTGATCTTTTTCAAACCCAAGCCCTAAACCCTAAAACCTTGTCAATGCCCGTAGGTGTTCTCGGACAAGGCCGATGACGTCTCAAGCTCCCCTTTCGGTCTACAGCTGGTAGTTTCCATTTTTTGTTTTCCGTTCTCAATGGACAAGACAATGTAAACTAGCAGTGTTTCTAGTACCAAGGGAAACACATGGACTTAGCGAAATGGTAGTTTCCATTTTCTCTTCATAGATCATGGAAATAGAATGGAAATTACTGTTGCTAAAGGATTCAACTCCATCAGTTGTTTGAGAAGCCTGCTTGTTTACAACGTGCAGGTTTTGCCAACCACACATTTGCATGTACCCATGACAAGTTTTTTGAATGCTAGCGTTGGGTCCTGGCTTTGTTGGCAAAAATTCAACCCACCCTTAACTCATCCTGCGTGCTTTGTCGGCTACCCCTTGTCAAAGGAAGCTATGTATAAGGGCCACAATGATGCTTTCGTTTATGAAGCGGTTTTCATGTTGAATACAAGTTGTCGATTGTGTGCAAGCATTGACAACGGACTAATTGGCAGAACCTGTTCCCAACAACTCAAACAAGTTATCTCCAAACCAACGACTCAAAAATCGCCGCGACAAAACAGCAGTTTGGGAGAACCCAAGCCCGAGAACTCGACAACCAAAATGTATCCTGACGATCGCTGAGTGGCACGTGCCCTGAACAGACTCTGAACCCTGACCGCAACCATTGATCAGCCTCAACCTTAGAAGACCCTAACCCGTACGGACCTTATACAGCCAACCAAAAAGTCCCATAAGTCTGCGGATAGGTTAGGTGGGATTGGAGTTACCTGCCAGCCAGTTCTGGGCTCCCGAAACCGACTCCTAAGGCCTAAAGCCGACAGAGGGTTAACGACTTAGGGCTACCATGGTACCTGAATCCAAGTCGAGCCGGCACGGGATGAGAACGAGAATTGTTGAATGAATCCCGACCCTAAGCCCTAACCCTGGAAACTCAAAACCTAACAGCCCTTAACGCTGAAACCCCTCAACCTGAGGTGCTCCAAATAAGAATCCCTCTTCGCAAGCTGAAAGACAAGATTTAGTAAGTGCCATCCATCAGCAACATGCGTTTTAACATTCCCGAGGCCCTCGAGAATCACGGAGTCGCTCGACTTGGAGGCTGACCTGAGACGGGTTTGCAAACGCTGCCTTGGTTGCCGCTGTTTGGAAACAGGTATCACAAAAACAATGGGATCCGGCTGAGCCATCTGCCCTGAACTTGCACCTCAGCTGACCTGGACTGGCATGTGGCATGATGTGCAGTGTTAGTCTCTCTGCCTAGCTGCTCGCGAGTCCTGGGTTTCAGGCCAAGTCTGCTTGAATGGCTGACTGTGCCTTGGCTCTTGGAGGCGTCGTTCTTTGTTTACATCTTTGTTTACATTAGCGCGAGCAGACAGCTGCCTCGGCCGGCAAGGCATTTGACCCAAATTCCGACCGACCAAAAATCTGGCCCCGGGGTGCGTACTACAATGGAAAATCAAATGGAAATGAGAATGGAGAATGAAATTGGAAACTGGGGTATAATGTAGGGGAGCACATCTATACACCATAGCACTTTCCATTTTCTTGAGAGAGGCGACGAAAGGGTGAGAACCAGCCACGCTGTGGCTGAACTCGGGCCATTTTGAGTCCTGCATCCAAGGGAGGAGGAGAGAAGCTAGGGTGTGCATTGTTGCTTTGGCAAGTGTATAAGAGCTGTACTGTAAATTCTTTCGAGGGGGGACTATATAGGGGACTGCATAGAGGTTAATAAGGCAGATACTAGGAGTTTAGACTATGGCTCATATGATCTAGAGTCTAAACTCCTTCAGGAGTGATAGATGGGGGGTTCTATGGAGTTCCTGTGATGGGGTCATTAAGGGGGACACAAGGAGTGTAGACATGTGCAGACTATCGTCCATATAGGGCTTCTTGTACTAGGGTGTCCTTTTTTGGATAGCAGAAATGTGTACCCCACCTCATATGGGGGCTGGGAGTTGAGAACCGCAATGCGGCTGAAGTCTTCACCTGGTGTCTGTTCACATTGGGAGTTTCTCAAAGAATTGCTACTGAGGGCTCCCTTCATGCATGTACACTCCCCATATATTTTAGGGCCTCCCTTTTTGAGAAACTGCCAAGTACTTGTCCCCAGGCTTTTCAGGCATGATCCACCTTTAAGGGGGTCCAAGGCCACGGACCTTGACAGAGATTCTGCTTACCTCTGGTTAGCAAGGAATGATGCAATGGATCCTTATATCAGAGGGTTCAAAAGGTGGGGTAAAGGCAGGTGGGGTTTAGGAAATAAGCCCCAATATAATAGAGTAGAAACTTGGGATCCTTTCAACTACTTTCATCCCGCCTTGTGAGCCCCCTGATTACGTATAGCACTCCCTACGCACTCCACTCTAGTATAGTAGCTTCTTTTTCCATTCCTGCCTTGCCTGCTAACAAGAGGCAAGTCTGCAATGATCCCATTTCTACATTTTGATGGGTGTCCATGGTGGATTTTGCTTTGAGATGTCCTTTTGCCGGATTTTTTTGCAGAATTTTCCGGGTCTCCACCTTGCTAACTAGAGGAACGATGATTACCCCTATATACTACCAGTTTCCATTTGATTTTCAATTTCTTGTCCATTTGATTTTCTATTCTTCTAGCTACGAAGCCACTCAGGTGCCTGAGATTCTTCGTTGGCGCACAGCATCTCGACAAGTCGTGGATCCTCAGGCAGGAGCAGTCGCAGCGCCGTCGGCCCTAGAGATGTAAGATAGAAGCTGGGACAGCATGGCGTCTTGCAAGAGCGCAATGAGTTTGTTGCTCAAGGGGCTGCACTTGTGAGCTTGTGCGCCAGGCTTTGGCACAACACGTGCAAGAGGCAGGCAGTTTCAAGAGGCGGGACATGTCTTTGACAGCGGGCAAAATCATCCTAGTCGGTCCATAAACCTCTATGTAAGCGGAAACGTTGAGCAGATCGGTGACGTATGGGACATTCTCAAAATAATCCCTATATCATGCCCAACAAGCACCCCCATGCTCCTCATATATTCCATTTTTTTATCATATTTTTTGTTGGGCCTTTATTTTGAGAAACTCCCAACTCTAAATAAAAAACAGTCATTTCATTTTCTATTTTCTTTTCCGTCTGATTCTCCATCATAGGGGTAATATGAGTAAGTATACCTAAAGCCTACCACTTGCAGGCCTGAATCCGTGCTGGCATTTTGCCGAACTCGACAGCTTTCGCATCTGGACCGGCCAGGGCAGCCGTTGGAACATCAGAAGATGTTTCAGTGCAGCTAGGCACGAAGCATCATAATCCTGGGTGATTGCCAAAGTTCCGAAAAAAAAGAGAGAACAAAAAAAAAAAACCTAAAGTTGAATGTTGGCATTTGAAGATCTGAGGTCAAAGCTGGCACCTGATATCTTCCCGACCAGCGTCCAAGGAATCGTTCGGCCGCTTCGGGCAAGCCCCAGACATGAAGCTCTTCCACCGTTTGCTGGAAGATATTTGGCGTCATTGCGGTAGCAAAGATGCAGAGGTCAGCCATGCCGGGCAGACAGTTTTGAACGTGATCTTGGACGAGCTCGTAAAGCACCTGACATATTTGCAGACGAGGTCAATGATGCCGGATGCAAAGAGACAGACGTTGGAGCAACTCCCAACCATTGGTCTGGTTTGCGGGACGAAGCGCCGGAAGGAGTTTGCAATGTTGCTCGTGTCCTTGTTGTGCCGTGATTTCGACCCGAGTTTCGGCGACGTCCTCTGGGACCATATTGAGCTCCTCCGGCGAATGGATGGGGATTCAGCGCCAGTCTCCAGCCTGGGATGCGAAAATGCCCCAGAGAGGCTACGGTCTTGGCTACGTGCTTAGTACGCATGCCTAATGTGGACTGGTGACCTCCTGGCCGTCGGCGCAAGTGAAAACAAGTCAAGAAGGCACGTCGAACTTTGATCCTTAGAACCCCAAATCCTAAAATCTCCTAAGCCGTGTTGCTGTGTGTTGCAGTTGCAGTGGCTCGAGCTGATAGTCACTTTTCGTGGGCAGAGCCAAAGCTTGGATCGGAGATGGAGCCGCAGCGTTTGCTGGAGTTGTTACCTCAGTCATGGCAGCTTTCGCGTTGGAATTGTGTTAACCATTAGTATCCAGATTGTAGCTGTGTACCAGGCAGTGATGTCCCAGACAGACACCCTCAACTCTAGGCCAGCGACAGCACAAGCAATGGCAAGATCTTGCAGTTTGCAGCTTTGCTTGTCAGGCTGCGCTCAACTGAAGCCGCTCTTGCGGAGGCATAGACATAGCCTCAGCAAGATGGGGCGGGCCAGATTTCCCCCGTCGCATGTCAGGCGTTGCAAGCCAACTCTGGCGATTTGGAACTCCGTTCCAAGCTTCACAAAGCAGAGCTCCAGGTGAGTCAGGCCACTGGGATGGGTTTTTGGTGGGCCAGGTCGGCTCAGTTACCAACCGCAATCCTCAAGAAAAGCTCATGAGCAAAGGTTGATGTAGCAACTCAGAACAAGCAAGAACAGTAAACAATCATTGCTATGCCCATCCTCCCCTTGGCCCTTGCAGGTACAGTGGCAACTTTTTCAAGCCCAAAACTACAGATGATTTTGGCAGCTTGAGCTGATCGCATGGACGTGTAAATTCGGGCGCTACCAGCTGTCCATGTTCCTCCATTCTGAGTGGGGAAGTGCAGCCAACAGCTAAACCAGGCGGCCATGCAACCGAGTATGGCCGCGATGACATGGCAGTAACAATCTCCTTTTTGATCATGTCATTTTGCCGTGTTTATTTGTCGTTGTGTTTGGTGCATTTGAAAGTCATGGACTTCAAATTCTAGACTTCAAAAGTGGGATTGGGATGTGCGTGAGGTGGGCGTGAATGTGGCGGGGATCCCTGTAGACGAACGCACAGCCAAGCAATTGCATGTGTATGCCATCTTGTTGGTGGTTGCAGGTGTGCAATCAGTGCGGTTCCCAGCATTTGCAGATGGTCTAAAACATATTTTCGTATATGAGGGTATATTATTGTAGATTATGGTATAATATGGTATATTACAGTATTTTATATGGAAGGATCTCACCAGCTGTGTGCCATTCTCAGAGGCTAGAATGCTTTGCCCGCCTTTCAGAGCCGTGGCCTTGATAGCCATGGCGCACCTAGCGATTGGGGTAGTTTCCAATTAGGGTTATATTGGGGTCACTTAGGGGCTATATGGGGATAATGGAAAAGAAAATGGAAACTGCTATAGTTTCTTATCTTATAACCCAAAGCAGTAGTTTCCATTTTCTTCTCCATTATCCCTAGGTATATAAACCCTATATTACTCCTATATCTATACAATATCGTAGTTTCAATTTTCTTTTCCAGTACCCCTACGTATATAAACCCTATATTACCCGTATATCTATACAATATAGTAGTTACCATTTTCTTTTCCATTACCCATTGGGGTTGGCGACGCATTTTCTTGAGGCAGCGAGCTCGTGAGGCAGACGGGGCTGAGGAGGAGATCCGCAAGTCCGAGGCCGAGGATGGAAGGATCTGACTTGAGCTGTAGTCTAAACTCCTGAAAGGGGGGTGTATATAAGGGATTATACAGGGGACTACTATAGAGGTTACTGAAGAGGATACTTGGAGTTTAGACTGTAGCTCATTTCATGCATTCGGGATGTTTGCTGTACCTACACTGCGATAAGGCTTCGCAACAGGGTATCTGCTGCTGAAGAGGTGCCACGCTTAGTTGCTGAATGTTGCAGCGCAGCGAATGGCAAGGAGTTGGTCGTGCCGTTTCTCAGGTTTCCCACCAATTGCGTGTGCTCCGTGAGCAGGATGTTTTGCTGGCGCGTTTTGCGAACAAGTTGCCAACAGATGTTTCTGGTCCCATGTTGGCGCTGTGGCTTCGTTTTACTGCTGCCGGGCTTTAAAGATGCAGCGCTTACAGTACGGGGCCCGTAGGTGATATGACTGGGCAGCTCACATACGTTGTATCTTATTGCGATTCAGATTAAATCACTACTCGCTCACTCTCTCTCTCTCTCTCTCTCTCTTCTGTATCTCTTTTCCTTGAGCCATTTTGCCTGGGCAGCTCAGGTCCTCCATAAGCAAGTCCACCTACTCTGTGTGTTGATGCCCAAGGTCGGAAGCTGATGAACTCCGACGCAGGTCAGCCAGCTTGTCAGACAGACTATCGCGAAGATTGGGGTTGTAGTACAGGGTTTCATTACGCGGGATTGTTGCAGTTGCGCAGGAAAATTAATTTTTGTGCGAGCGTTTGAACCCATGTGAACTGGTAAACCGTAGAACCTAAACCTCCAGGTTGCAGACTATGCAGCGAGGCCAGAGCGATCCAGATTGCAGACAGCCAGATGGATACTTCTCCTTATTATCCGTATTCCAATCCTAATACGGACCCGTGTAATCCCTATATAGTCACTGCATCCTTTGGGGTCCAGGGCCACCCTTATTGAGAAAGTCCCAGATATTAGTGGTAACTAGCTACGATAAACCAAGTTGTGGCCAGGTAATATCCCACATTCCCTTATAGTTATGATTATAGATAACGCTAGTGTTTATAGTATTCAGTAATATGCCTACCTAGAGTGATAATGACAAGTAATGTGGTATCATCGCCATAGTTTCAGAAAACGGGTTTGTCCTGTTTATGACTGTACGGCGCATTGCCCATACCTGGGGGAATGTGGGATACACCAACGTGGAGCTGATATGAGGAACGTTGGAAGTGCAGGTGCTGCAGCGCATGTTCCCCATCATTTCGTCCCAGGCCGATGGGCAAACACGAATGATCTCCAAACTGTTTAGGGTTCCTGAAATACCCGCAAATCTTGCCCCCTCAGGACAGGTGTGCGTCCAACCTTCTCCTGCAGCTTGGGCCTCGACACCTGCAGACTTCACGACCCCCTCGCATGTGAGTATTTCTCAATATTATCGCTCTATTCCCTAATGAGGACCTCCATAATCCCCATTATAATCCCCATGTATACCTCAGGTCCCTAAGGGTCCGCTCTTTTTGAGCAAATTCGAAAGCGACTGTATGCCTTGAGGTGCACTATGCCACTGCGCCGAGAGTGGTCCGGGGTCCCATGCAAGCTCGCGCCACACCGCTCACACTTGGTGATGTTAACAAATGTTTTATATGAGGAGATGCCGCCCGCTGCCGTCGCTTGGGCCTAAGAGTGACAGCAGCTCAGAAATCCAATCAGAATTGGTGTGAATTGCGTAGATGTTCTGCCACTCATCCACTGCATCAGGTACGCCGATTTGTGTTTTTGCGCCAAGGGTGAGCAGAGAATTCTATGTTGCACGCACGTGCGCTGGAGAGTCACATCCGCACCATCGATTTCAAACCCAGTGTCAAGCTCCTCTCCAGCAGGTAGGCAAGTAGTGTGCAAACTTGGGGTGGGTCGTTGTCAAGTCATGGCTGTTGACCTCATTGCAAAATGGATATAAATTGAGATTTAAAGCTGGGAATTTCCCATGCGCGATTCTTGACAACCCCCCACATGCCTCAAGGCAATAGGGGTTCCTCGGCTGGGAATGCCTCAGTCAGAATCACAAACATGTTGGGGACGTTTGGACAAAAGGTTTCAGAATCTTATTGTGCTTGCTCCGCTTGAACATGTCGTGTCAAGAAGTTTGCTAACCTTGTTGCATCTGCCGAGCCACCCTTCTGCTCAAAGCGCAGGGTTTGCGTTTGAGCACCCAACTCACCCATCTTGGATGTGCATGCGGAATGTTTCTCAGAGTCACGAACATGTTTGGGACTTTCGAAGTTGTTAGCTTGATTTGATGGCTAGTCATTACAGAGTTCAGAACTGATTAAGACCCTCTGTAAGATTCTGCCGTGCTGAGTCTGTCACGGCGAGAACATCTCCGTGAGTTAGCAGATGAATAGGGCTTTTGAAGGACACTGCCAGTGTGTTTGGGCCATCGGAGCTGTTGCCCACGACACATGTGGCCATCCCTTTGGCGAATCGAGGCCACTTGTTTCACTGCTCAAGCGAGTGTTTTCTGTGCAGCATCGATTGTTGGACGTTCTAGCATCACTCGTTGTATGAGGCTTCCGCCGACGATGAAAAGGCTCATGTGTATTGCAGATCGCCTGCTAACTCCAGACCCTGTAATATTGAAGCTTTCGTGGAGGCACTGCTTGTGACGGAAGATGTGAAAGCAACTCTCAAGGAGGTGGGTTGAAACATTTCTGAGTTACACTGTGGCGAATTCCAGATTCGATTTTTGGAGTGTGACTTGGGAGGAGTTCGCCTGCTTACGGCGTAAGAGTTGGGCTTTTGAGGGGTTTGTGCTTTTCAATCATCACATCCGCTGACTTCTGCCAACACAACGCATTTTTTGGCTGTCCTGCCGTGCATACGTACTCCACCTCCAATATGGTACCGGTACCGTTTTAGATTAGGGGAATACATATACATATGCATGCATCATACTGTGGGGGGCTATTATTAGGGGCATGGTTACCAGGTTATTTGGCGTTGTGAGTAAGAGCAGAGCATGCCAGCCGGAATGCAAGTTAGTGCAGTGATTTGCAATTGGAGCTTCAAGGTACACCCTCACTCCTCCGTGAAGGGCTCAGAGGTTCTGTTTCTTTTGGACTGGTCCTGTTGATGCTGAGTGTCTTTCTACTGACTTCTTTTGTACTTAGATCAAGAGTGTTCCGTCGTTGCGATGGTTGGATTTGAACGGGTCATGCCATTGGTCTCAAGTAGTACTGGAGCATGCATCTACCTTGTGTAGGACACGCATGGTATGAACATGTATTTTCTTTAGATATGTGACAATCCACTGTCTTTTGTGTTCCTGCTGTGATTCGTGGTGTTCTGGTATCATTACCG